TCCCTTAACACACTCACAGCCACCGGTGTGGTGGCTGCAATGAAAGAACCTGACCTGAATAACACAACAGTGCCCATGAGATAAAGTTCCTGGCTTGCACAGAGCAAAATGAGCAGGGCTCAGCCTAAGTCAGAAGAACGATGGAATGAATTGGCTGACGGAGACTTGAAACTGCAGTGCAAGAACTTCGGTATTACCAGTTCAGTGCTTAAGCCACTGAGGAATGCCCTTCAGAGCTAACTGTTTATATATAACATAAATAGTATAAACAGCTAAGTGCTGGAGGGCATATACATACATATAGATGTATGTATAAAACAAAGACAGAATATTTTATCTGTTCCACTCTGCACCATGAAAAGTAACACCACCATATAAATAAACAAATGTCAGCTCTTGGAAAATGCAGTCAGGCAGAAAGCAAAAAAGCTTCCCTAGCCATGTCCTGAACAATAAATTTTTCCTTCACACACACCCACATCCACTGGTCCAGCTAAAAAATCTGATCCCCACTCTCCAATTAGAAAATGCTGCTGCCAAAGATACATTCTCAAAAATCAAAGCAGCACTGTGAAATTAAGCCCAAACCAAGCCCTGCTGAAAAGTCTCTCTTCTGCTAGTTTTAAAGTCTCCACTGGGAAAAGATAATTATCAAATAATAGTATCAACAATGCCAGATAATCACTTTAAGCTCTTTGATATGTTCAAGTGTACGATGTTTCAAATGTTACTGAGTGTCAAATATTTACTCTTGAGTCCAACTGTGTAAATGACCCATCCAATGCCACTAAAAATGGCAGGCACACATGTAACAAGAGCAGTGGGACCTGCAAAGCAAAAGAAACAACCTTGGGTTTTGCAAAGAGTATCCTGATAGCCTGAACTCCCCAATGAGAGTTATGACTGCCTTTGCACTTACTTATCTGTGTGGAGGTGTGGGGTTTTTTAAGTGGTGGACTTACAGCAAGGCAGGTGGAACTTCACATTCACCTTGGAGTCAGAAAGATGTCCGGTCTCACATGCTCAATGTGAGACTCACACCAACACTCCTGTCTTATGTTTCCTTGTGCCAAAGCTGTACTTGCCACAACTGGAGCTCAGAGCTGCCCCTTGTTGCGGGACCCTGTGCACCTCAGACGTGCTCTGAGGAAAAAAATCAGGAATTAGAGGAATAGTGCATATAAGCTTCCACTGGATTTCCTCTTGGGAAACACCCCACAGAGGATGAATTCTGCTTAGAGATTGTTCTCTTGCCACCCATTTATAATACATAGGACAACAGGCTTACTCTGCCTTGTCCTTCCTCTTCAAGTACCATTGGAATAACTGGCAGAAAAAATTCCTTTTCCAGCTGTGGCTGGAGGAAAGTAAGACTCTATTATTTCTTGGTCCACTCCTGCCCTCTGAGTTTTCAAGAACAGGAGCACAATGCTGTACTACCTGATATATGACCCTCAGCCACTTGAATTCATCCCACTTAGACACGTGCATTTTGCATTTCCTTTTTAATATTTGCAACAATATTCTAAGAAGCTCTTGGTAAGGGGAAGGTGTATCTCCATGACACAAAGACGTGACTTTGAACTGATGCCTTTCTCTATTTCTTAATTAGGCAGTCTGACTGGAGCAGCAAATGAGGAATGCCTGTGTCAAGCATACAGTGGGAGGATAAGCGATGTGCAGTGATACCATTGCAACAATGCTGCTTCATGAGCCAGTGTTTCTTCAGTGTAGGAACACGGTTCAGGGCCCCAAACTTCATGCTCACTGAAGTCACATACCTTGTCAGCAGGATTACTGACCGCTAGCATGCAAAAACAATGGGGACTTGGTTGGACCTTTCCCTTGTCAAGGGCACCTGTGTGTGGAGTTTTCTGGGACGTAACACAACATGCAAGGTGGAGCGAGGGCCGTGCACAGCATCTCCAGCAAGGAGCAGGTTAACAGCTATTAGCGGTATTTCAGAAACAAGGACAGCCTCTCTGCACTTAGGACATGAAAATCTTTCAATATTTTCTTTGGAGTCATTTCATTTAGCATTTTCAAACAGCTGTCTCCAGATATTTCATAATAATAGTAACAACTAGTAAAAAAAAATTTGAAAACAAAACAACAACAACAACAAAAACCACATAGGCCTGTCCCCTGATTACAGAAAGTGAATTTTTCTGGGACGTACATTATTAGGCAAAAGTCGTTTGTGTTTTTTTTTTTCCCATAAGGCAAGTGCAAAGCATTACATTAATACACACTGGAAAAATAAGATAATGGCTTTCTTGATTGTGAGGAGGAATGTGGGAGATTTAATCTGAACACTGAGTCAGGTCGAAGCGCCTAAACTCCCCTCGGACACAATGTTATCGCATTTAACGCTTACATCATCACCCTCACGAATGATGCTGAGTAACGCAGCCCCAAACGTCGATCCACGCACCGCAGCGAACTCCCAGGTAAGAAGGGAGAAACGACCACAAAGGTACCGTCTTAGCATACGTCAGGCACTAAGAAAGATAAATTTGATGTCTGGAGCAGAGGGAGCGATCTATTTTCAGCTGTTCGAATAGCAGCCACGGGCCTATCAGGACGCACTCACTCCTCTCTCAATGTTCCGCATGTGTGCCGAGAATTAGAGGGAGGTAGCGCAGCGCAGCATACGCCTTCAAAAGCGCGGGGCACTGACTGCTCGTAATAAGTAAGAGGAGACCCGGCTTCGCCTCCTTGGCATGTTCGGAGCAATTTCCAGTTGAAAAAGGTCAAGGTATCATTTACAAAGCGGCAGTGCCTGGAAAACTCTCGTAACTCTGCTCCGCGAAACACAATGGGTGACAATAACAACCCGAGCATCGCTGGTGAGGCCGGCGCTCGGAGCTGACCCGCCGGGCTCTCGGCACTGACCACTGCCCCGGGCGGAGTCACTGTCCGAGTTCGAGGGGCCCGGCCGCAAACTGAGTGAAAATAGGTGCCTGAACCTCTGACGAACTGGATCAAGTGGGGCAGGAGGGGCAACTCTCAGCACGGGCGATACTTTAGCTCTACTTTTCACCCCTGCCCGGGGACGCGCTGAGAGCGCCGGCCGCCGGTGCCCTCCTCAGGGATGCAGCTGTCACCGCCTTGGCAGGGCGATGGCAGAGGCGCGCGCGACGCGTGATTTTGGGACCACAACATGATTTAAAACAAACAAACAAACAAACAAAACCCAACCAAACGGAAAACACCCCAAGCAGTTCCAAAATCCCTTCGAGGCGCACGCTCGCCCCCCGCTCGGCGCCAGGGCAGACGCGCCCAGCGCTCCTCGCACCCTCGACGCCGTGGCGGGGGTCCAGCGCCCGGCAAGGGACTACCCCAGGGTGCCCGAGGCCCGGCGGGCCGAGCCGGGCTGCCCACGGGCACGGTGCCGGTGCGCGGCGCTGGCCCCGCACGGCGGGGCGGTGCGGGGAAGGGGGGGTGCCCCGGGGGAGAGAGCGAGCGGGCGATCAGGGGTCCCCGGCACGGCGCCTCCCCGCCGGCAGCGGGCGCTGTGACTCACCGCCAGGAGCGCCGAGGCGCGCTGCTCCCCCGCCGGCTGCTCCCCGTTGATGCCGCCGTTGCCGAGGAGGTGCTGGTGGTAGTCCGGGGGCGCCGCGCCGGCGGCGGCGGAGGGGGCGGCGGCGGCGGCCGCCTTGGGGTGCTTGCCGGCCTTGCGGGCGCCCTGGCCCTGCTGCACGAGGTGCAGGAGCTGCAAGGTGCTCTCCCGCTCGCGGTCGGAGCTCTCGGCGCGGCCCCGCTCGTAGCGCCCCTCGCAGCTGAGGTGGTGCTGGCGGCAGACGGCGATGCGGGCCCGCAGCCGCTCCACGATGGCGCTGTGCACCCGGGGCGCCGCCGGGCCCCCCCCCAGCAGCCCGGCCCCCAGCCCCGCGGCCTGGGGGGGAGCCGTGTCGCCCATCGCTGGCTGCCGGTCCTGGCCCTCCGGATGGGTCGGTCCTCACTGCCGCATGGAGGAGGGCGGGGGGGTGGCGGGGAGAGGCGGGGGCAGCGGCGGGAGCCCGAGCCCGGGGGCTGGCGGCGGGGCGGAGGGCGGTCAGCCCCGCGCCCCCAGCCCACCCCCGCCCGGCCCCCGGGCGGTGACGGCCCCGCGGGGGGTTGACAGATCGGGGGCGGGGGGGGGTGTCGCTAAGGCTGCGCCAGCATCGGCCGGCGGGAGGGGCGGGGGTCGGGACCGGGCAGCCCCCGCCAAGGGGCGCCCAGGGAGGGGGTACGGAGGGGGCTCCGCCGGGGGAGAAGAGTGAAAAAAAATCAAATAAAGCGAGCCACTGCCTCCAAAATTAATCCCTGGACGGAGGAGTTCTCCCTCGGGAATGAGTGAGACTTGGCAGGTTTATTGGGTTTATTTTATTTCGGGGGCGCGGGGGGGGTGGTGGTGGTGGTGTTATTCCTTGAAGTGGAAATTTAAGGCATTGCCGTGCTCGGCGGTGCGGAGAAACCCCCGGCGAACCGAAAATCCCGTAGGTTTGGTGGAGTGGGTTTGTTGGGGGGGTTCTTTCTTTTTTTCTTTTTCCCTTTTTTTTTTTTT